GGGGATGTGAGCAAGCCCAGGGCTGGGCACAGCAGCTGAGCTTCCCTGGTATCGCTGCTGAGAGCTCCCTGCACACGCCCCGCGGTAGCCCGGCCAGGGGTCAGGATGTGTCTGTCTGTCCACGCCCAGCTCCAGCACAGGGAATGCCGGGAGAATGGACAGGCTGGTCTCCCCACGTGGAGGTCAGAGAGTTGATGACAAAGAGGGAGGGACGGCTTCAGAAGACGTGGGCGGCTGCACTAGCGCCCCTGGTGCCCGGGGATGGCTTCCAGTAGGGGTGACAGGGCAGGAGGAAGGGATGTGAGATAGGAGGCCAGACCTGGGGGCCGATGTTATGTGAGCAGGGAGAAAGCAGAGCGCTCCCTACTCACCACCCTCAGAGACTTCACCCCTCACTGTCCCTGGGCCCACAGCAGGTCCCACAGCTGGGAATGGTCCTCCTTGTCCCCTCAGAGTCCAGGCCACGTCCAGTATGCCCTGTTGGGCCCAAGAGCCACCAGCCAGGGGGGCCTCCAGTCATGGCCTCAGCCTTGTATCACCATCAGGCCTCTACCAGGCAGGCCCTGAGTTCATCTGCTCCCCTGCCCCCTCTGCCATGAGGACCATCGCTGGGCGTGGATAGAGGGCCAGTCTTCTCTCCTCCAGCGCCCACACAGGGCACAGGCTCAGTCTGTTTGTCGAGTGAATGAATCGATGAGTGAATGAATAAACAAATGAGTGAATGATTGAATGGGTGAATAAATGAATGGGTTAATGAAGGAGTGTGTGAATGGGTAAATGAATGAATGAATGGCTGAATGAATGAATGGGTAAATGCATGAATGGATGAATAAATGCATGAGTGAGTGAGTGAGTGACTGAATGGGTGAATAAATGAATGGGTGAATGAAAGAATGAGTGAATAAGTGAATGAATGAATGAATGAATGAATGAATGGGTAAATGCTGGGGTCCAATCCCAGCAGATCCAGGGGTCCCCAAAGGTGTGGACGGAGTCGGCGAAGAAGGAATGACACGAAGACAGCCTTCAGTTGGTCAGCAGCCTAGTCAGGACCTATAGCCAGGATCTCCAGCCAAAGTTCTGGTCGGAGTTCTGGTCAGGAACTGATGAGGATCTGACGTTTATTGTCTTATTACATCCGTATTTATACCAGCCGATCTCAATCCTGTCAATTTCTATTACAAAGGTTAAGGTGTTTCTCATCTCCATTCCAGGGAGTAAAGACCATGTAGCTTGATTACCCGCCTGGCACTTAATTAAGGGGTTGTATCCCCTCCCTAACCTCAGGGAAAGATCCCCACCTGGGGAAACAACCTTTCTCGGAGAGGTGACCTTGGTTAAAACACATGGCGCTAAAGGGAGCAAACATATTAACTAGGATGGACCGGCCTCCGGCAGGTAAATGCATGACCACTCCCCAGTGCCCACTGAAGGCACCAACAACAACTCTGCCTTTGCAGGACTCAGACACCCACCCGTGGTCTGGCAAGCCTCAGATCTGCAGAGGCCCGTGCTTTCACCCTCGTGGGTCAGGGTGGGCCTCATCCAGGTCCAGAAGATGCTGGATGGACCCGCGTCTGAGGATCTCTGGGCTGTGGGGTGTCCTCCCACTCTGTGCAGAATGAATGGATGAGGGAGAGAATGGGTGAATGAATGAATGAGTGAGTGAATGAATGAATGCCTGAAATAATGGCTGCCCCTGACACTTTACCTAAGACCCTTCTGTATATTTTAAATTCCTTGTATAGACACCAGAGCTCAGAAAAGCCCCCAACGGGAGGACCTTAGGAGACTCCCGTGTCCCCTCCTCAGATGTCCTCAGTGGTCCTGGTTCTGCTCTGGAGCTGCAGGAAAGACCCGAGATTGGGCTGGACTCGGGGCTGGCTTTCTGCCTGTCCTGGGCTGTGGGGTGTCTGCCTGCTCTGTGCAGAGAGGGGAAGGGCTTGGACACTGAGGTTCCTCTTTCTTGAACGGCCGAGATCTTTTGCTCCTCCCCAGCTTCCGTGGTCTCACCACGGTCTCCTCTCCCACTGTCTTCATTCTTTTCTCACCCACAGGAGCCCAGAAACCCTCCATGTCAGAGATGCTGTGGCTGCTGCCCCTGCTGTGGGCGGGTGAGTGTCTGAGGGGAGAAGGGGGTGTTGGGCGGGGGCTGCGGCTGACCCTCCTTTTCCTGCAGGGTCCCTGGCTCAGGATAGAAGATACACGGTGACAGTGCAGACACCTGTGACAGTGCAGGAGGGCTTGTGTGTTTCTGTGTCCTGCACATTCACTGCATCATGGACCTCTGGGACTTCTATCCCTACATATGGCTCCTGGTTCCCAGAAGGAGCTAAGTCAGACACAGATGCTGCTGTGGTCACAAGCAACCAGACTCGTAACGTGCAGGAGGAGACCCAGGGCCGATTCCACCTCCTCGGGGATCCCAGGACCAAGAACTGCTCCCTGGACATCAGAGACGCCAGGAGGACAGATAACAGATCATATTTTTTTCGAGTGGAGAGGGAACATTCCCCAGGGTTTAAATATTCTTACAAACATAACATGCTCTCCGTGCAAGTGACGGGTAAGGAATGGGCTCCAGGAGAGGCCTTGGGAGAAGTTCACGGTGGCCCCGGGCAGGGCTGGGATGAGACCCCATCCCTGGGAGGGGGTCGGGGTACAGTGTGTTGGGCTCAGAGGCAGGAGCTGGACCAAAGCTGAGGCTGCTCTCAGGGCCACACCTGGGACCCTCCCTCCTGATCCCCTGTCTCCCCCTCCTCACCAGCCCTCAGCCACACACCCCACATCCTCAACCCGGGGACCCTGGAGAGCGGCCTCCCCAGGAACCTGACCTGCTCTGTGCCCTGGGCCTGTGAGCGGGGCACGCCCCCCATCTTCTCCTGGACGTCAGCTGCCCACACCTCCCTGGGCCCCAGAACCCGCCTCTCCTCTGTGCTCACCCTCACCCCACGGCCCCAGGACCACGGCACCAACCTCACCTGTCAAGTGCATTTTCCTGCCATTGGTGTGACCGTGGAGACAACCATCCAGCTCAACGTCACCTGTGAGTGCTGGGTCGGAACAGCAGGTCCCTGAGGGTGTGCAGAGCAGGAGGGCCAGGCAGGGGTGCTGGGTGCTTTGTCCTGGGGACCTGGCTGTGTAGGGGACCTCGAGCACAAAGCCCTGTCCCTCTTGCATTTCTGTGGTCTCTGAGGGTGAAGGGGGAATGCCTAAATGATCCTTACTCCATCTCAGCTCACTGAAGAAGGAATTCCTTTCTTCCTGTCCTAGGTGCCACACAGAACCCAACACCAGGTGGTTGCCTAGGAGACAGTGCAGGTGGGAAGGAGCCTTCTGTCATGGGGCATTGACTGACGTGGGTCTCTGTCTGGGTGATTCAGAGCTGGACTTCAGAGTTCAGCAGGGGGGTGTGGGTGCAGTTAAACATGAGCACCCCTATATGACCTCTTCCCCAATACCCTCCAACCACTGTCTGGCCAGAATGACCACAACCATCTCCCTGCCCATCCTTACAGATGCTCTTTATCTTCCTCCAGTTACAAATGCCTCGGGGTATTTTAGAGTAGACTTTAGTTTTAATAGCAGTTCTAAATTCACAGCAATATTGAGCAGGAGACAGAAGGTAGAGAGATTTCCCCTAAACCCGTCACACCCTCCCTCACATGCACATTCCCCACCAGAGGGGACATTTGCACAATCGATGCACCGACACTGACACATCATTGTCAACCAAAACTCATAATTATGGTTTACTCTTGGTGTTGTACACTCGATGGGCTTGGACATTGTATCATGACATGTGTATACCATTATAGTGTCATGTAGAGCAGTTTCACTTCTCTGAAAATCTCTATTTCTTGCCTGCCCTCCCCTTGGCCCTCACCTTGACCTGTCTCTGGAGCCCTATCCTCCTCCTGAACTTTTCCCATTGGTGATGGCATCTGGTCCCCACCCTGACTAGTCAGTGACCCTGTTAGGACTCTCTCAGCAGTTCCATCAGACTGTAACAGGTGATGCTCAGAGACACATCCCTGACCCCAGGGCTCCTGGGAGGCATGGCCAGACAACTAGGAAAGCTGTCTGGGTCTTGCCTGAAGGTCTGAGAACCTCCTGGATTTCATCTTCTTTTGGAGGCACAAAACACAACCTTTGACCCTGAGCGACAGGGCCAGTGGAGGCCAGGAGAGAAGATTCTGACACCTTCCCAGGAAGGAAGAAGAGAGGTCTTTTGGCAACCCACAGCGGTCTGTGTGTGTGTGTCTCTCTCTGGAGTGCCCATGGGACACTGAGGCTCAAGGTCCTGCTGCAGCCAGGTCTGGGGTCTGGGATAGAGAAACCCTAGATAGAGAAGAACCCGGGTCCTAGAATAGATGAGGTTTGCTTCACAGGAGTGTGGGGACTGGATAGGAGATGTCATGTAGACCGTGTCCTTCACCCCATGGTTCTGGAGGACCTAGTTGCTCGCCCTGGATGGGAGGAGATGGGCACCCATCTCTTCATGCTTGAGAAGAGGGGATACATGCCTGCTCATCAAGCTTGGAGTTCACCCATGTCTCTCTTGTCTGCAGGGGAACGGAGGACAAGGGCAGACATGGTTCAGGCGGCCGTCGGGGGAGCTGGTGTCACTGCACTGCTGGCTGGCTGCCTCTGCCTCATCTATTTTGTGTGAGATGGGACAGGTTTGGGCCAGAGGTAGAGAATAGGAACCTACAGGGGTTGTAATGGCCCGGAGCAAGGGTAAGGGGTGCCGTGGTGGTGAGAATCCAGTCCGTAGCCACTGAGCCAGGCTTGAATCAGGAGGTGTGGGGGAAAACCTTGTTCCAAAGTCTTGCTATGAAGGCTCCTGGTCTTGCCCCACCCTTGACCTTCCCTAGTCACTCACTCCAGCCTCAAAGAGTGACCCTGTGTGAAAGACCTTGGCGTCTCCCAACAGAGTGAAGACCCGCAGGAAGGAAGCCAGGACAGCAATGAGCATGGACAACATCCACACTGCCATGGGGCCAGCTTCTGTGGTGAGTAACATGGACACCCTGGCATGCAACCCTGCCCCCACTTCCTGGGCGGCCCACATTTGCATTGCATTCAGCATGTCCAGAAACGAGCTCTTCACCTCCCCACTCTTTTGGAAAATGTAGGTTTTATTATTATTCAGGTATGTCAGGCCAACAGATCAGGAGACATCTTGTCGATTTTTTCCTCACAGTTCCCAAGAGGAGGGGAAAAGTCCCAAAACATGGCCACACATAGCAGCACTAGGGTCAGTCAGGAGGCAGAAGGAGTTAAGGGGAAAATGTGGGCAGGAACCTTGATGATGGTTTCCATGGGGAAGGTGAGGTGAGGCAGGGGAAGCAGGCTTAGGACTAGCTAGTTTGAATAATTTCAACAGGCTCTGGGCTGTGGGGGCTGTCTCTCATTGTCTGGTCCCTGGTCCTGGTGTGATCAGGGCAGGAGGAGACTGGTCGGAAGTATAAGAGTTCCATAAAAGAGATGGTTGGAGGCATGAACTTTGGAATGGACTTATTGGTTTGCAATATGAAAGTCACACTTAAAGGCAAGTCCTTTACTATCTCTAGCAATTACCTAGTCCTGGCAGGGACAGTTTCTCTAGGGTTATCAAAGTCCCAGATGTCAAAACATGAAATACACATGGTTAATACACCCCCAAAATATACTTCTGCTGGGCTCTCCATATCACCAATGCTATTCTTTTTAAAAATATATATTTTATTGATTTTTTACAGAGAAGAAGGGAGAGGGATAGAGAGCTAGAAACACCGATGAGAGAGAAACATCGATCAGCTGCCTCCTACACACCTACTACTGGGGATGTGCCCACAACCAAGGTACATGCCCTTGACCAGAATCAAACCTGGGACCTTTCAGTCCACAGGCTGACGCTCTATCCACTGAGCCAAACCAGTTTGGGCACCAATGCTATTCTTGTCCCTGACACCCAACCAGAGACCCGGCCCTGTCCCGCCCAGTCCTCCACCAGCTCTTTCTGCACTAATAAACTGCAAAGCATGTCTGCTGCAGCCCTCCCTCCTCTCCTCCCCAGCACTGCCCCATCACACGCAAGTCTGAAAAGCACTGGTTCTCCACACTGCCGAGCACCCAGACAACTTGGTCCGGCATTTGAGCCAGGAAAAACCAGTCACCTTCCATGCTTTGTGCCTCCCACACTCGCCTGTTCATTCGCCTCCAGCAACGTAAGCCTTTTGCATCTCAGAATCATTGCTAGGCTGTCCCCTCCTCTTCACATGCCTGCCTCAACCCGCCCTGCTCCTGCTCATCCTCCAAGTTCTGACTCTCATCGAACTCTAACTTATGTGGGTACCATGTGAGGTTTTTGAGAACATGATCAGCCATCACCCATGCATTTATCTTTCGCTTCGGCCAGTATCTCCCGCTTGTCAATATCTGTATTTTTATAAATTATTATGTTACAAATGTAAAATGTCCCTTCCGAGCTTGCAGATGACCACCTTCATGCTCTCTCTTGGCCTTTTCTCTGTGCCCATGTATTCCTGGTCTCTCTTCTTTTTATGAAGCCTTAAGTCATGTTGGGTCCTACTCTAACGACACCATTTAAAAAATTACATACCCCGTTAAAGGCCCTATCACCAAATATAGTCACATTGGGAGTCATAGCTTCAATATATGAATTTGACAGTTTGGTCCATAAAACAGACTTAGGGCATCAGTGATGAATCTGGTGTGAAGCACTTGGGGTCTGGATACATTTTGCAGGTGGGGTCAACAGGATTTGCCAATAGAATGATAGGGTACACTTGGGTGTGAGCTCACTGCCTTTACCTCATAGGTGTCATAGACTTCAAGGAGGACTCCATAGATGTCATAGATATCCAGTGATGTCATAGAGGTCCATCTATAGTCAT